CGGGAAGGGGTGCGGCCTCCCCGCCCCACCGCCCACACCCCTGGCCACCCCCTGGGGCTGGGATGTCCTTGGGGAGGCACACAGCAGCGTCCAGGGGGTGACCCCATTCACAGGCAATCACGGGTATTCAGCTGAGGCTGGGGTCTGAGCCTGCCTGTCCAGAGTGCCGTGCGGCCGCTCAGGGGGCCCCTCAAAGCCTCGGCACGCCAGCACCCGCTCCAGAACTGCACAAGGGTCTGTGTGTGCGCGACAGACAGACGCAGACAGAGACGCAGACGGGCCCACTCACCCTCCACGTCTAACCCCCTTCCCTCATCTCTCAGCTGCCCTCGCAGCTGGCGATGATTCAGTGCCGTCCAGCGGGGTGTGGGCTGAGGTTCCTGGGGAGCGGTCTGAACCAAAGACAAAGTGTCCCCAGAAGAAAGTCCTCTGCCCTTTGCCCTCCTTCCTGCCTGAATGCAGACACAGTGCCTGGAGACGCAGCCATTTTGTGACCCTGAGGCAGACAGTGACAGGCCACGGAAGGCGGAGCAGGAAGATCAAGAGGTCCCTCTCCTTTGAGCCACTGCCTGGGCCCCGGGCCGCCCCCCCTTCTTACTAGAGAGAGACTCCTCTATCTGTGTCAGCTGATGTCTGTCGGGTTCTCTGACGCTGCACTCTGGGTGTATGCGTCTGTGTGCTTCTCTATTTCCTAAGAAATGTACATTTTTAATAAGCTCTCAAGTGATTCCGACGTGCGCTGAATTTGGGGACCCATTGTCGGAAAGACTGTCGCCTGCGAGGGAGGAAGCCCACGAAAGTCGCTGTGGGCTCCACGTCCCCAGCCACCTCTGGGCTGACGGATGGTAGGTCAGACCTCGTCCGTGCAAAGTGGATCGTGTGCGAGCTGAAGGGCGCATGCGAGGCGCCCTGGGGGTTAAGGCCTTGATCTGATAAGCGACTCCCTCCCTTCCCCACCCGCCTGGAAACAACCACAACTGGGAGCCACACTCGAGCTCGGCCAGCTGAGAGAGGTTCAGGGTTGTCTAATGAAAGAATCAGCACGTTCAAATGATAACCGTTAACCTACTGGGTGCCCTGTCTTTGCACCATGCATGTGAGGGAACAGGCATGTGTCTGTCTGTCTGTCTGTCTACACGCATGCTTTGCGTGGATGTACGTCCAACGTGCCGGCTACACCTACAGTCATAAATGATGACACCCTTCCCTGGCTGCCCAACCGCGGAAGGGGGACCTGGGCTCTCAGGGGCTCCAACTCGTCTGTTCTTTTGAAGCTCTGTTTGTACAACACGCTTCATCATCTCGTGGGGCAGAGCTTTGCGAACGAAGGCACAGAATGACCCGAGAAGGCTTGCTGAGAGGCAGGTGTGAACGTAGCACGTCTGAGCAGCTCCCAGGACATGCTGACACTCGGGGTCAATGGAGCGCCAGCCTCGAATCGCAAGGCTCTGTGAGATTCGGGACACCCCTGTGTGGCCCCTGCTCAGGGACAGCTTGGACAGACTGCAAACAGGCAACACAGACGGGGCGGTACAGGAAGCCCTGGGGAAGCCTCGGGATTCCTGGCAGCAGATAAGGACCAGGTAGCCTCCCACGTCATGTTACCAAAATCCCGTTTTGAAAAGAACAGCAAGAAGCTTACCTTGAGCCGCTATGAATTTATTCTTCTCCTTGTAACCCTAGAAACATAAAACCAGGTTTGTAATTCTTCCTCGTTTTCTTGGCTGAAGGCGTTTGCCGTTGTTGTTTGGAAAGTAACGCGTATCAACCACGAGAAAGTTGGAAAACACAGAAAGAAGAAGAAAACTCACTAGTCCTTTCGGAGCCAGTGCTACTTTTGTTGGCCCCGCCGTAGATTTTTCCTGTGAATACTTTCCCAGTCGCACACGCACACACACAAGCAGACACACGTTCAGATACTTTTAACTGGTAAGTACAAATTCTCCTATGTTGTATTTTAAGATAATTTTATAATTTATATTAACCGATATTTTAAGGTTCACTTAAGGTGAACGCTTAAATCTTTTTTATGTTTATTTTTGAGAGAGAGAGAGAGACAGAGAGACAGAGAGAGGGAGAGAGATAGACTGTGACCTGGGGAGGGGCAGAGAGAAGAGAGAGACACAGAATCTGAAGCAGCCTCCAGGCTCTGAGCTGTCAGCACAGAGCATGACGTGAGTTACATCATGACTGGAGCCGAATTCGGGTGCTTAACCGACTGAGCCTCCCGGGCGCCCCAATTAAAATGAATTCTTAATCCATTGCATTATGGTTTTACCATAGTTTGTTTAACTGATCCCTCTTGTCCTATTTGGTCAGTAATGGAACGAATGCTGTAACAAACATCTTTGTGCTTATCTGTTTCTTGAAAATGAATCCCTGGACAGATGCTAATTCAAAAGCCCCGGGCGACTCTGTGCTCTCTGTGCTGTGGCCAAGCTGCCCAGGAAGGTTGTGACCCGGCCCCAGAGAGGAAAGTCACGATTCACGCTGAGTCCCCAAATGGTGCAGGTGTGTGCATCAGGCCGGGCCGGGGACAGGAAAACAGCAGACTTACATCTATGTACGAAGCATTAATATAGTCTGAACAGGGGGCTCCGTCCACTTGGCTCAGAATCACCCTGGAATGATCATCTGTTTAGAAGAAAACAAAAAACCATGACATCAGGATAAGGAAATCACACCTGCCATACGTTTCTTCCATCTACAGCATTAAACACGGCACCTGACATGACCGGGTCTTGCGTGGCGATCACCGGGACAGAGGACGCGTCCTTTTCAATGTCCTCATGAGACCCTCTGTGTCATGAGGATGGGAATACACCTGTTTCACTGAATGAGCACTGCATCTCAGCACTGAGGACAGTGCCCGGCCCTAACCAGGTGTCCGGTAAGACCTGTGGGCTGACAGCAGAGGCATGAATTTCAGCGTCCAGGAGTGGGGGCTGCTGGGCCTCACATAGAAACAGAACAGCAGCACGTGCTGGGGCCCCGCAGTGAGATCACCATATTCTCCGAAACCCCAGCTGGGCCCCCATCTTAACAAGGCCCTTGCACACTGAGGAGAGCCCTGGACGGAAGGGCTGGGGTCCACGCTCCCGGGCTTTCCAGGGAAGGGACAAGCTGACTCCACACCCCGATCCCCATCCTTCCAGTCGGCCCTAGGGCTGGAAGGTGGACGGAACTCACGCTGACCTGAGCTGGGCCTGGCGGGCCACCTGCCTGGAAGATTCTGGCCTGCTGTACAAGCAACTCTCTAGCGAGGGGGCTGACCACAGAGAGCTCTGTGTGGGTGTGTGACGTGTGCTTCCTCCATGTGGGGGCGGGTGGTGTGCAGGTGTGTGTGGTAGGTGGGGGTGCGGTGTGTGTCTTCTCTGTGTGTGTGGGTCTGGCGTGTATGTGTTTGTGGAGTGTGTGTGTGTGTGTGTGTGTGTGTGTGCGCGCACATTTGGGGAAATTTCAACCAGGGCCCCCACTGTGACCTTGGTGGGTCCTTGTCACTCCTGCCTTCATGGGCCCCTTCCTCCATAAAAGAAAAAAGTAAACACTTTATTTTACAACTGTGTTATTAGTTAGTATAAAGCTTACCGTAACCAGACTGGATTATGGTGTTGTTTTTGTTTTTGTTTTTCTGATTTTAAAGGAAATCAGATGGTGTCATGGGCCCTTCAAAGTGTCATGGCCCCGGGCCTGGGTCTCCTACTTCCAGCTGCACAACAGCTATCGGAAATACTGAGGATGGATGGCCAGACCGGGCCCAGGGCCAGGGTCAAGAGTCAAAGCTGCTCCCGGGGTGGTTCACACCACCCCGGGCACGGGGCTTGGGACAGAGTGAGCACTCCGTATGTATTTACCGCGTTCTATCGTCCTGCTTTGTCCTGCTTTACCCCCTGCTTGTCCCCACAGGTCTGAAACTAACTGAGACGTGTGTGTTTGCGGGGTGGGTCTGCGGCAAAGGAGCTGTTGTCTTCCGCATTCTTGGAAGGCGCTGCTGACCTCAGACACCTGTTGACTAGACACGGTATCGCTGGGCCCGATCTATCCTGCCCCCAGCAGCAGAGGCCACTGAGGCTTTCAGGGAAAGTCATGGCTCATATGGGGCAGCCAGGGTGTCAAACCCCAAACGTACAGCCCGATGGCCTCCTCTACGACACCCTCCTGCTCAGGGGCTGACAGCCCTAAAGCAGATACGGCTCCGGCTGAGCATGTGTAAAGACAGTTGAAAATAATTTGGAACCGTTTACGCTTTGAGAACAGCTATAGAAAGCCGAGGGCAGAAAATAGCCTTCTGGTTAGATTTAGAACCTTGCAGTTTCGGAGAGCTTCCTGTCTTTTTATTCTGAAAGTCACACTTCGCTCTCAAAACATTATATTTTGAAATTACTGGCTGTTGCTGTTTTTTTTTCCAGAGTAGAGGATGCTGTCTCCCTACCAGTCACCAAGCTTTTCCGAAGCCCAGCCTCATGGACACGCCAGGCATCTTGTTCTCTGTCATCCAAGCTCCCTAGAGCCATTTCCATGCCTGGGTCGAGGGGTTTCTTAAAAATCTAGTAAATTTAGGGGTGCCTGAGTGGCTCAGGCGGTTAACCAGCAGACTCTTGATTTCAGCTCAGGTCATGATCTCACAGTTTGTGAGATTGAGCCCCACATCAGGCTCTGTACTGTCTGCTTGGGATTCTTTCTCTCTCTTTCTCTCTGCCCCTCCCCCGCTCACTCATGAGCACTCTCTCGCTCTCTCTCGTTCTCTCTCTCTCTCTTAAAATAAATAAACTAACTTTCAAAGAATTTTAAATAAGGGTTTTAGTGAGTAAGAGGCAAATGGGGGCAGGACCCTAGAAAAGTGCTGGGGCTGGGTAGGTAGGTCCTCAACAGATACATTCAGTAAGTCAATGCATAAATTAAATTAATTAACGAAGTTAATTAGTCAAACTAATAGTAGATAATAATACTAATTTGCAAATATCCCGATTTTTACTTGACACAAAATATTCCAAAGATCCCAAGCCTCCCCCCACGGTTCTCCTTTCCCTCGAGCTGCTCCAACCAAGCGGCTTGCCTCCCTCCTTCTCTGATAACCCACCCCAGATCCAGTGGCAAGCCCTCCCGATTGGACCCCCACTGCGTGTCCAGAGTCTAACCCTGGCCCAAGCCCCTCCTCACTGCACAGCTTCGTGTCCCATCTCCTTGCGGCTCCCTTGGCTGCCTACGCAAATATGTTTTAGCCGAAAGACTATTTGGTTAATTTCTCATCGTAGTTGGATCATAGTCTTATAGGGGCCTTTGGAAAAAAAAAAAAAAAGAGGTGTCAATCCTATGCTTGTAAAGTGCAAAAGAATTATTTCTATTAAGTGCTAAGAGTCCAGAGACCACACAAATTGGGCGGACCACAGCTTGTCGTGCCTCTGAAGAGACGGACTTAATTCCAATCCTAAAAATGCAACCAAGTGGACTGAGGCCCACTGCACAGGCTGGCTCCCTTGCTTCCACGGAGGCTCTGTCTGAGAACGGGGAGATTCTCTGGCCTGGGGCTCCGGATTTAAACCCTTCCCGGCTGCCTTTCTGTTAGCCTGATGGGCAAAGCCCACAAGAGGGGTCCAGCTGAACGAAGAATACTGCAACCCTCCTTGGCCAGCTGACAGCTTGGAACATTCAGGTTTGTCCTGGCACCAAGGTGGGCTGTGAAAGGCACCCCCGGGGCGAAGCCTGTCCAGCCACTTCCCTGGACAGATCTGTCAGCTATCTGGCCCGACGGCCTCCCTGGACCCCACACCCCGCAGCCCATGGCCCCGTTTAGCTGCTGGCGTTGCTAAGCCCTCCCACAAAGCTGCCAAATCTCTGCACATTTCTCATTCTGTCATTTCTGCCCCTGGTCTGGGAGACCCACGGCTGGTGGCCGAGAGCACTGAGTCTGAGATGTGGAGATGCCCAGGGCCACTGTCAGCACAAGACTGTGGCTCAGGACTGGGCCCAGGAGCGGGCCCCCGCCAGCCCGTGCGGGGGGCACTCCCCTGGGCCCCTGGGCAGACCCACGACAACAGAGGTGGCCTGAGCCCACTGTGGGAGACGGCCACCTAGACCTCCCTGGACAAGCGCCAAGCAGTGGTGCTGGCCCGGGCCCTCGTCCCCGAGTCCCGGGACTGTTATACTGCCCGGGCAGGCACAGTCCCCAGGAGCTACAAAGGAATGTTGAGTTTACTCCACACGCTACCAATCATGCAGAAAAAGTAAAGTCTTACTGGGAAGGATGTTGGGATATCTGTTTTTTTCTCTATTTTCTTCTTTATTGGCCAGTTCAAAAGTTCCTTGTATGTGTCCAGATGGCAACGACTAGAAGAAAATACACAGTTAGCACTAAACATGATGAATCCGAACACAGCGTTTACGCCCACTTCGCTAACGGGCACAGGAATCAAGGAAACCCCGGCCGAGCAAACGACGTGCAGTCCACCGCCCTCCCTGCCCGGCGGGCTGTGCCAGGCGCCGGGCAGATGCATAAGGAAGACACAGGCCCGCCTGCCCTCAGGGCGCTCTCGCCAGCGGGCCAAGCGAGCTGTGGACGTGGTGACGACCCCACCGTTGGGCCCTCAGCTGCATGAAGGCGGGGACTTGTCTGTGCACTGTCACCAAAGCCCTGGGAGCCACTGGTCCTGGCCCGGAGCGGGGACTCCACGGATACTTACAGACTGAGCACAGGAGAACTCTGGAGCAGGAGAGGGCAGAGCAAGGGCACCTTGCGGAGGGGCTGTGGAGGCCAGCTGTGCCCGTGGGGCTGGGCTCGGGGATGGGCAGAGGATGTTCGGGGAGCTTAGATGTGGGCCTCCTGCTTGAGAGGCCGCGCGCTCGCGGGCCAGCGGGTAAGGTCCAGCTGGCCTCTTGTGGGAAGCACGGACTCCAGCCCCAGCCTGGATCAGCGCAAGATCCCCAGGGGTCCTGTGTGTGCACCTGGCTTCAGGAACTCTGCCCTATCCCCCCGCCACCTCGGATGAGGACACCGAGGCGTGAGACGCTAGCTAGCACCCTGTGACTGATGTGTGGCTCCGTGGACATGAACCCGGCTGACCCTGGGCTCCCTGACTTCCACTGATTCTAGTCGTCCCCCCGCATTCGCTGGCTGCTGGGACGCCCTCCGCACGTAGGCAAGCCCCGTGCAGTGCACTGTGGGAAAGAGCCTTTTGAACCCCCAGATCACGGCCTTCAACGTTAACCTCAACGTTGACTGGACTGGGGAGGGGACACTGGAATTCGAGGAACGAGTGTCACTATTTACCAAGCCGCTGAGATGTGCCAGGCACTGGAGGAGGAGTGGGTCACCTGCCCCAGGCCATAACTCACCTATTACAAGAGGACACTAGAATCATCCATTTTCCAGATGAGGAAACTGGCCCCCAAGGCTGCTGGAGATTTGTCCAGGTTCACCTGGCTGGCAAGCGGCAGGTACCTTCAGTCTGGCCTGGAGCTGGCCACCAAGACTCCCCTTCTTCAAGTGTGAAGTCCCCGGAAGACGGGGGCAGACCTCACAAGTGCTGCGCAGCCCTAGGCTTATTCACACCATGAGTCACGAGGGCCGGACTCACCGCCCACAGGTGCCCAGAGCCTCCCTCTTCTGGGGCGGGGGGCTTCTCCCTCACAGACTGAGCCCCTGCCAGCCAGTGAACTTTTTCTTTTGTTTTCAGTTCACCAAACTGGATGGCCACCGGCAGAGAGCCTGGTGGGTGCCTTGGGGTCAATGCCTTCTCTACCCAAAATTCCTGGTTCTCTCTCTCTCTCTTTTTTTTTTTTGTTAATGTTTATTTATTTTGAGAGACAGAGGGAGACAGAGCATGAGCAGGAGAGGGACAGAGAGAGAGGGAGACACAGAATCCGAAGCGGGCTCCAGGCTCCAAGCCGTCAGCACAGAGGCCGACGCGGGGCTCGAACCCACAAGCGATGAGATCACAACCTGAGCCGAAGTTGGACGCTCAACGGACTGAGCCACCGAGGCGCCCCTCAAAATTCCTGGTTCTTATCAAAGCTGTCTTGACACTGATTTTCTGGACCTAACCTAAACAGGGAATCTGTGGCAACATTCTACAGACTTCTCTCTTTCTATACTCGAAAGCTTTTTTGTCCTCACCCCTGAGAATAAAAATGAGGTATAATACTGTAACGGTGGGCGCATGATGTCATGCGTTTGTCTGAACCCACACAATGTACCACACTGGAACCCCAGCTCTGGACGTTGGTCAGTTAGTGACAATGAGTCAACATCAGTTCTCATTTGGAACACACGTAGGGCGTGAACACGGGACACTGTTGATTTGGGATACTGTGGGCTAAGGGGGAACGCTGTACTCTATGCCCAATCTTTCCCTAAGCCTAAAACGGCTCTAAAAATTAAAATCTATGCGAATGATTAATTGAAAAAGAAAAAAAGAACCCAAGAAACCTCCCTCTTCCTCGGAAGGTGGGGTGGCTACGGTGAGGTATGTGGGGAGGTTGGAGGGTTAGGTGTCGAGGGGGGACCCAGCTCTGCCCCACCCCCCGCAGTGGCCTGAGACCCGGGATATGAAGTTGGGGTGGCGATACCGGCTTTTTGGGCTGCGCGGGGGGCCACTTGGGGTGAGGCCAGGTGCTCTGTGTAGAAGGCATATCTCTGTCTCCAAGCGCACAGAATGACTGCCACCCCTCACTTTGTCCCGCTGTCAATCTGCCTGCAGACTCGAATCTCTGAGCTGCTCAGTGGGCACAGGGGAAACGGGGCAGCACCCGGGGAGGGCTCTGCTGCGACCGGGTCACCCCCACAGCGCTGAGCAGGAGCCGTGCAGGTCGTGATCGGTCAATAAATACCTGGCGATTGAATGTGCGATTACATAAATTGGCCGAACAGGGTCGGCTGGTGTGCTTGCTTCTGGAGGTGGGATTTCATCTCGGTGAGCACACACAGGAGCCACAGGTCACGTCCCTGCCCCCTCCTCCCTGCTCTGCAGTGCTGGGCAGGTGGTAGCCAATGAGAAGAACAGAGAGCAGCCAGGTGTGGGCTGGTCCAGCATGCTCCAGGGGTCGGTTCTGGCTCACGCCTCCCCTGCACCTTTCTACAACACGCATGCTAGGGCTGGGGCAGGGCCCCTGAGCTGGACAGACTCTGTCTGGGGAGGGGGTGTTCCTGCCCTGAATGGCACTCACTGGCCGGGGTTTCACTGGGGGGCCTGGGAGAGCCTCTGCTGGGATGGCACTCTATCATGGCGGGTGGAGACTGTGAGACTGGATGTCCCCAGGAGTCGTCCTAAAAAGCATGGCAGCCCCAGACGCCTCTCGTGCAGACACTGGGCGAAGCTGGGCACGCATCTGCCTCTTTTACGTGTTCGGACAATCCTACGGGGACAGGCGAGCAATCCGAGGCAGGCAGAGGTGGAATCAATGGACCAAGCAAGCGGCCCAGGCTGGTAAGAGGCAGGCCGGCCAGCATTCACGCCTCGACCATGCCACCGAAGTGACCCAGGGCCAAACTCCTTCAGCTCACGGATGCTCTGGGTCGGCAATACACAAACGTCCAAACTCGTTTTGAGACTCGTCCGTCCCTTTCTTCGTCTCTGGGACTGGAACTCAGGACATCAGGCGAGGAGGAGGAAGAGGGGAACAACTGTCTAACTCAAGCGGGGTCATCACAGAGTCAAGAGTGGGCGGGTCCTGGAACTCTCCAGGGCGCTTAGGAGACAGAAGCCACACAAACACGGCTTGAGACACAGCCAGCTGGGGAGCGCATGGGTCGCTTAGTCAGTGAAGCGTCCGACTTCGGCTCAGGTCGTGATCTCACGGACCGTGGGCTCAAGCCCCGTGTCAGGCTCCATGCTGACAGCTCGGACCCTGGAGCCCGCTTCGGATTCTGTGTCTCCCTCTCTCCCTGCCCCTCCCCTGCCTGTGCTCTGCCTCTTATTCTCTCTCTCAAAAATAAAACAAACAAAAAAGACGGGCCAGCTCTCACTGGCGAGAGCAACAAACTGGGGTTCAGAGACTACAAGCAGCTTGTCCCGGGTCCCCCAGCGCCGGAACCAGACCCTCCTTCCCTCTGCATATCTACTCATCCTTCACTGCCCGGAGGCCTCCAGTGGGCAGCTGGGCAGGGCAGGGCAGGGCACGAAGGGTGACGCACTTGCTTCGGGGGCAAAATCTGAAGTGGCACCATAAACCCAGGAATCGAGGTAAAATAATATCCAAATGCAACAATGAAAACATTTTTTTTACATTCAAAGTTAAGGCACGATGTCGAAAACACCAAACCTTTAGATAATGCCAGGATGGGTGACGGTGGGGTGACAACTCATGGTGGAGCCTGGGACCGCGGGAGAACTCAGTCGGAATGATCTTGTCTTCATTTACTATTTCGTTCGGCATGGATTGCCTACATCAATTTTGATATTTTGGGGGCGCCTGGGTGGCTCAGTTGGTTAAGCATCCGACTCAGGCTCAGGTCATGATCTCGCAGTTCATGAGTTTGAGCCCCGTGTCAGGCTCTGTGCAGACAGCACAGAGCCTGGATGGGATTCTCTCTCTCTGTCTCTGTCTCTGTCTCCCTTTCTCTCTGCCCCTTCCCCACTCTCTCTGTGTCTCAAAACAAATAAACAAACAACACAAAATTTTTTTGATATTTTTGCATAATTGAAATACTATTTATCCCGACTGAGCTGCTCATGCCTGGGGCAGGTGCGTCGCCTGCCTGACCCTACTTCCAGCCCTGCTGCGTTGGAGTCGCCCTCACTTTAGAGATCTCAGCGGAGCCGGCTGGTTCCAACTCACGGTCCTCCTGCCGGCAGAAGGCCGACCCCCACGTCCACGCGGGGAAACACAAGCACATGGGGAAACAGGACAAGACAGGAGGGGACAAAGTCACACCGCTGCCAACTTGGGTAGTTACTGTGAACACGGAGAATGAACTTCTCTCGCCAGGCTGACAGATTGCAAAACAATACTGCGTCGAGCTGTCTTTCAAGATGACCTAATTTCCCCAAAATAGAAGACACAATTGGAAACAAAGGGAAGCAAGGCAAAGGCGGGTGAGGCTCATGTTAAAAAAATAAGCAAAGTACCAATGCCATGCTTCGTCACCTCCCGTGCCCTCGCGGGATGCTTCCGTGTGAAAAGCCACGCATCTGCTGGAGTGCCGTCTCTGGATTAAATAGCTACACCACACGCCGCTGGTTATGCGGCCCACTGCCCAGAGCCCCTCTTAGACGGTGGAGGCTGGCTGCC